GCCCGCCACAACACCTGGCTATTTTTTTTCAGTTGCAGCCATCTTTGTTGTTTGGCGGGTCAGGGCTGGATTCGAACCCACCACCTTAGGTGTATATGGCTGGCGCCTTAGCCACTTGAGCCACAGGCGCTGAGCCTGGAATTTGGCTTTTAAGACCAAAAACATTGATCTCTGTTAACATTGGAAATCCTTTTCTAGAATGGATGGAGCTTAAAGTGTTAATGGTATTTAATGAGTTTTTTAAATTAATTTTTTATTTCAGAGCATTATAGGGATACAATCATTCTGATAATGTAATTTGCATTTATACATTTTAAGTCAAAGTTAAAGTGTGTCCTTCATCCAGAATATGTGCACTGTACCAGTTAGGTATCAATTTACCCTACCTCTCTTCCTCATTCCTACCTACTTGATTTCTGTTGAGTTTTACTTCCATAGGTACACATATGTATTGATTGACTAGTTCTAATTATATGAGTATGTTGTGTTTGTTTTCTCATTCTTGTGATACTTCACTTAGAAGAATGGACTCCAGTTCCATCTAGGTTCCAAAAGATCCAAAAGGTAGCCATTTGTTTTTTATGGCTGGGTAGTACTCTGTGGCATACATATACCTATATTAATCCATTCGTATATTGATAGATTGTTTCCTCATCTTTGCAATTGTGAATTGTGCTTTTCTAAACATTTGAGTGCACTACTCACAAAAATTAATTCATGATGGATAAAAGACTTAAACCTAAGGCATGAAACTATAAGAATTCTAGAAGTGTTGGAAAAACTCTTAAAGATACTGGTCTAGGGAAGGAATTTATGAAGATGAACCCCAAAGCTATCACAGCAACAACAAAAATAAACAAATGGTAGCTGGGCATTGTGGCGGCCATCTGTAGTCCCAGCTACTTGGGAGGTTGAGGCAAGAGGATCTCTTGAGCCCAGAAATTTGAGGGTGCTGTGAGCTATGACACCATAGTACTCTACCCAGGTGACAAAGTCAGACTCTGTTTCAGAAACAAAAAAACAAATGGGACCTAATCAAATTAACAAGTTTCTGCACAGCCAAGGACACAATCAGTAGAGTAAGTAGACAATGTACAGAATGAGAAAAAAATACTTGCATGATATACATCTGATGAAGAGCTGATAACTAGACTCTACAAAGAACTCAAGCAGGCGGCACCCTTAGCTCAGTGGCTAGGGTGCCAGCCACATACACTGGGGCTGATGGGTTTGAACTCAGCCCAGGCCAGCTAAAACAACAATGACAACTGCAACAAAAAAAAATAGCCAGGCGTTGTGGTGGTCACCTGTAGTCCCAGTTACTTGGGAGGCTCACGTAGGAGAATCGCTTAAGCCTAAGATTTGAAGGTTGCTGTGAGCTGTGATACCATGGCGCTCTACCAACGCTGACATAGTGAGACTCTGCCTCAAAAAAAAAAACCTCAAGCAAATTACCAAGAAATAAAATCAACCCCATTAAAAAGTGGGCAAAGGACATAAACCGAAACTTTTCGAGAAGGTAGACTATTGGCCAACAAACACCTGAGAAAATGTCAACATATCTATTCATCAGGGAATTGCATATCAAAACCATAATGAGATATCACCCCAGTGAGAATGGCTTAGATCAGAAAGTCCCAAAGCAGGAGATGCTGGCTTGGATTTGGAGAGAAAGGAGCACTCATTCACTGTTGGTGGGACAGCAAACTAGTACAGCCTCTACAGAAAGTGGTATAGAGGTATTGCAAAGAACTAAAAGTAGAGCCTACCTTTAGATCCAGCAATCCCAATACTATGTATTTATCGAAAGGAAAAAAAGGTGTTTTATCAAAGAGACACTTGCACTTGAATGTTTATTGAGTGAGTTTTAAAAATTAGGGGTCCTAGAGTGTGGTAGAGTGGGTTTTAGAATTCCAGCTAAGGAGCACAAGAAATTAGTACATGTGCCTTCCAAATGGGATTTGTGAAATTTGATGAGTTCCCCTATGGTGGTATGTACTCCTTGAAAATAAGACCTATGTCTTATTTATCTTTTTAAGACCAGCTCTTTGTCCAAGGCATAACCCATAGTAGTTTATTCAGATGTAGAACTGAATGTTGCTAGCACACCAAGTGTGTCACTGGACTGCTGAACTGTGCTTTTCATGAACTAGAGCTAATTCATTTTGAACACACACATACATCCCCTCTTATATATAGCTACTCTGTGGATGTTCAATCCATAGTCCATTTTTAATCCTACTTCTAGCCAGGAAGTTTGATCTACATTTAACATTAGCCAAAAGCAGAGAAAATTGGGAAAATTATCCTCCTGCCTCTTCTCTGACCTGGGGTTGAGGTTCAAGCAAAGTGGAAAGACACTTTCTGTGTCTTCTTTCCTATAAATAAATCAAACCCTGGAAAAGTGAGGTTTTGGGGGCCAACTATACTCTGCCTAATCTTGGGGTAGGCTGAGTGTAACCCATAGTCTTTAGCGTGATGACTGATGGTTGCCACATCTTGCCTACACTTTTGCTGTTTGTGTGGTAGGTGGTGGGTTGGCATTGTGGTCGAAGATGAATGATACCAGCTTTAGAGTTTTGTACCATTCAAGTTTATTTCTGTGACAATTGGCATTGGATAAAAGATAGGCATATGTGCACAGAGCTACTATAGACACTTGGCTAATGTTTGAGACATACCCTGTAGTTACACAAGTGCTAAATCAGTTATTTTTAAAAAAGAGATCACTCCAACACACATGGACTTGTTATCAGCACCTCACTGGTGGAAAACACAGCTGCCCCTGCTGGCAGAACCTGATGCTGTCAGCAGGTGGCAGTAAGGATTTCAGATGAAGAAAAATGAATCTGAGGAAAAGGCCAAGGCCACCTCCACCACCAGTTAAAACAGTCTATTGACTTAATAGTGTTCTGGGAAGTCTGGAAAGGACCATTATGGGCAGGGAGAAAGAGCTTGTGATCAAAGCTCAGAGCCTTGTCGGTTTTTTCATTTAGTGAGTGCATGGTCTAGCTACTCAATGGAGGATGCTGATTGTCCCCTGTTTGAGGGACACAAAATGTACTCACCAAATAGTTACTGACTTGAGAACAAATCTATAAAGAACAAAGGTGATTCTGTCATATTTTGCTTGTAGTTAGGCTTCTGTTGCCCTTGGCATGAGGTTTTTAGCCATTTTCTCAGCTGAGTTGATCTTTTCTCTTTATTTGTTCTTCAGTTAGATTTGCTGTTCTCAGAGTAAAAAACTCAATATCCTCCCTCCCCTCAGTCTTGCAATAGCAGCTTTCTTCTCTGAGTTGTAGCTTCCAGAGCCCTCCTTCTGAATGAAGTCAGCCTGATCACAAACTGCCTAAGAATATTTTCTCTTTTAGCCTCTCATAGAAGTAACATATTATGAGTTTGAGTTCCAGCATACCTGGGGGATAGAACAACAATAACATGAGCTGTTAAATTGTCTAGAGCAGACACTCTGAGAGGAGGTAAAAATTAGTCACAGCATCCCAAAGTACTTTCTTATTTAAATTGATTTTGGAACATTTTTCTTTATATTTGAATGTTCCTGTGGCTGTTAATATATAGCTATTACTACATTTATAAAATAGGCTATGTTCCGATCATGTGGGTAGCAAAGCATAATTGGACAGAATAAGCTCTATTTTCCATTATGTGGAAACCCCCAGGAATTAAGTAGTGACAGTCTTAAGGTTTGTTGGCTGGTATACTGCCCCAACAGCATGACTCCTGGGACCTCTTGTAAGCCAGG